AATACCTCTACTCTAATAATCCAAACCACAATATGTCAATAACAAGTCATCCCCAAATTTACAAAACACTATCCTATTATTAATCATCACATCCTCGTAACTCGAAATTCATCACGGAACCTTAAAAACAGAATAAAATAATTCCATAACGTGATCAGCCGTAAAACGTTTAAACAAGGCCAAAACAAGGAAAGATCGTAAAAAAAGAAAACATGCAAAACAAAAACAACACGTAAAGGAAAATAAAATTCGTTGGGCTGAGCATCCGGTTAATCGAAAAATATGAAAATTGATGAATTATTGGGAGATAACGATGAAATTGAGAGGGTTGGGAAAGAGGAGGGACGGTACTAGTAGAGATTGCATTTGAGGCGGCTGTTCCATTTGGAAGAAGATCTGGGAACGGTAAATCGAGAGAAGAATTCCGACAGCGGGCGCGGCGGCGCCGACCAATCGACCTCGCGGAGAGCGTCGATGAGATCCTCAGCGGTGACGTTTCCCCAATCCATTATTCTCCCTCACACACACACTTTCTCTGATTGACGAAGAAAAAGTTTGTTGGAAAAGGAATTGAACGGAGGACGAAAGGAAGAGGAAGGAAAGTAGGAAAGTGCAAAGGAGTGAAGAAAAGGGAAATGAAGCTTGCGATTTTATTTTCTAACTTGTCTTCCTTCTTGGGTTTTGTTTGGTCTCAAAATGAAAATATACAAAATAAAAATTGTCTGAGCCCGGGTTCGAACCGGGGACCTCTAGTGTGTGAGACTAGCGTGATAACCAACTACACCACCCAGACAACGTTTCCTATGCGATATGTTTATTAATTCTTATTTTGTTAATCATTTTAATAAAAAAATGAAAACATGATATCGTTTTTCAACTTTCCTTTTATTATTTAGTTTATATACAAAATGAAAAAATACGTCATAAAGTTCGGGTTTGAACCCGAGGCCTCTAGCGTAAAAGCCAACTACAGCAGCACCCACAACCGTGAACAACAATCAAATTTTTTAATTAATTAATATTAAAACTAAATATTTTGAAATCTTGAATGAAAACTAGATGTGAAAATTGTAATATGCTGTATTCGGAATAACTTTTCATTCATAAAAATAATGTGTATATTAATTTGAAATTATAAGTTATTAAATTTAATCTTATGCTTTACATTTTCATAAAAAAACCTAAAATTGCGAAAAACAAAGTTTATTTCAAAAATACTCTTAATAACAATTACTTTTTATTCTTTGGGTGTATTATGTTTATCCTTTTTCCTGAAGACTAAAATAATATATTAAAAATAATATTACTTATAATTATCTCTCCCCATAACTATTAAGGATTGTCATTCCTATTAGGTCATAAACTCAAGAATCTACATTCAGTAAAAAAAAAATCCCTCTTAGGGTTTTTTAAACGCATAGAAATATCATTTATTAAGTTTAATGTAGTTGATTTCATTATAGATTATAAAACTAAGTTTTTCTTCTAAGTGCACAATTAAGTAATGTTTTCATTTTAATTTTATTATATTAAGTCATAGCTTTAGTTCATTAATATGTGATGAAATATGTGTGTGCTAAAAATAAAAATAAAATATTAGTTACACGTAATTATTGTTAATTACCTTGATTTAGCCTAACCAGTCTAAGAAATGGCAAAATAAAATAACAAAAAAATAGGTGTTAGAAAAAAATATCCAAAATTTTAGACTATATGAAATTAGTAGAAGTAAAAAAAACAATTAACAAAAGGGAGAAAAGTGTGTAACACTATGTAATTGAATTATAGATTATATGTGTGCTTTGTTGGTTTATCTGTAAACATGAGATTATGATATTGTGTTCCATCATAGTCGGGGAGGTTGTAAGACTCTGAGGTGAATTTGAGTTTTTCCACCATTGTTGAGGAGGTTATAGGACTCTTATATGAGTTTGAGTTGTTCCATTATAGCTTAAGAGGTTGTAGTACTCTAATGTGAGTTTGAGTTTATTTTGTTTTGGCTAGGAAGGTTGTAGCTCATTGAGGCAAGTTTGAGAGGAATATTTAGTTTATTTACTTGTTTTATTTGCGTTTGTTTTCATCATCCAAAATTTTGGGAGAGAGGGGAAAGGCAGTTAAAAATTGTTAGTTAGAAAATGATATCATATTTGAAGTTAGAAATGAGATGTATGAAGTGATAATGGAAAAATTATGCATAGAAAAGATAATGTTATTAAGCTTGTCCATTGTGACTCACCTCTATATCTTAGGAGTCCATTTGGTAAACTTCAATATATTTTACTTTTATCGAGAAAAATGGTTTTAGGAAAAAACTTATATTTTCAAATGTTTTGAGATTTTAAATACCTTGTGACGTTATTTACAAACTCAGGGTTTATATTGTCATTTTAGCTTACCATTTTATTTGTAGTTGTGGTTTTCACCTATAATGATCATATTTTTAAACTGGAACAGATCATCATATAGATGTTGAACAAGATGCACAATAATAAAGGATGAGACTTGGAGTAAAACCACTATATATCTGGACAATTGAGAAGTTATATTACATTTTTATTTTACAATTATGTCAAGTTAATAAAAATACCATGATGCAAAACACGAATTTTCTTTTTATTTGAGTTTTAAATAAAAATTTGTGACAATTTTGATTTTATAATAATTATTTGAAATAAGATAATGTTGCTCCCTGTTTTGTTTTTTGGTGCATAGCTACACAAATAATCCTATTTCAAATAATTACTATAAAAATAAAATTGTCATAACTTAATTTAAAACTCAAATAAAAAGAAATTTTATATCTTACATCATGATACTTTTATTAACTTGACAAAATGGTAATATAACAATAAAATAAAACTTCTTCGACTATAGTTAAAAAATTAAAACTCACGTAAAAATCCTACAACCTCCCAAACTATTGTAGAATAAAATGTCATAATTACTTATTTATAGAAAAACTAATAAAATTAATACGTATTCACAAAATCTCAAAAGAGTCATGCAACTCATAAAATATCAATAGTTTTATTTTTATAATTACAAATTTAATTAAAAACAACACTTTGAAACCACCCAACTAACCAACCTCTTACTTAGAAACATAATCTTTTTTAATTTTCAAGCAATACACCTTTAAGCCTACCCCAAATTAATCATCAAAATATCAACACAATTCACATAAAACTCTTTTAAACATCATGGAATAATAAATTCAACACCACTTAATCATAAATCAAAACTAAAAATCACGTTCATAGAAATGTACTCTACCACTCACACCTTCATCAAACCAAAATAAACTATATTTTTATAATCAAAATAGCCCAAAACCACATTTTCAACACCAATCACATAAGACAAATGACTAGTTAGGTTCCGTGACACGAATATTCAAAGGTTAAAACTAAAACCTTTTAACCTTTACTTTGAACTCTAAACATCTTTCCACAAGTTCCTTTCCAAAAATGCTTAAAAAATACTCATGATTCTCTTAAGTTTCATTCTCTAGATCACTGAAAAGCTATAGATTTATGTTCCTTATTACTACCGCAACTCTCCTTTTTTTAATGAAACTCTCAATTCAAAATTCTAGTTATCTCCTAACAAAATATTAACTAAGATTTAGATATAATATTATATTTATGAAATATAATTTAGTTTGTATATCCTTTTATACATACTTTATTTATTAGAGCATCAATTTAATATGTTGTTAATAATTATTTACCAAACCTTTAATTTCTTAGAAAATAAAATAAATATTTTAAATTAATAAATCATTATCTCTCCTATCATAATTTTTTAAATATTTTGCTATCACCTATTAATATGTATCGATATCTAAGAATATCTTATGATATTTAATAGTATATAAAAATATCTCATTATATCTAATAATATTTAATATCTTTCTAATTAAATAATTATTAATCAAATTTTTTAAATTATATAATTAACAAACTATTTTATCTTTTACTTAAAATATTTATTTAACCTTATTTGTTTATTTTTTTTAATTATTATAATTTTTAGGATCTCACATCCTATAATTAAAATATTAGTTTTATACTAAAATACTCTCAAATTATATAATTTTAAAGTAAAAAGAATTTCAGATTGCGTAATCAAAAATATAAAATACCAATAGATTATATAATTCAAAAGTTTTTTTTTCATAAAGAAAATGACTTCTAGATTATATGATTCACAAATAAAAAGAACTTTCAGCTTAAAAAATCTAATAACATTTTTTAAAAATAAAGAGAGAATTTTCATAGTTATAAAGTAAAAAGAAAAATACGAGAATGAAAAAAAATTCTCCAACTTATAAGCTCAAGTTAAGCATATAATAGATCTCAAGTTAATTGGGTTAACAAAACTGAAATTTTCATGTGAACCAAAATAAATTTAACTCGTAAAAGTTAAATGGATTTAAATGAGGTCGTTGATAATTGACCAATTTATAAATTTTCAAAAAGTAATACAAATTATACGATATCATTTTTTAAATCTTTTGAAAGGTTTGGATGTTTAATTTATTTTAAAATTTTAATCTGATATGCATTTAATATTTAATGTGAATTTGCATTAATTATTAAACATTGAAAGTTTTTGTATTTAATTTAAAATTGTTTAGCACTTATAATTTTTTTTATGTTTTTAAAATTTAGAAAATCGGACCAACTAACTCAGTAGTAAATGGGATCCAATTATGAAGCTTCTAACTCACTGCATTACCCTATTTTATTTGGCTAATGCTCTTTTTCATTAATTCGGCCAAACAGAAACATTCGATGTTTTAATGAAGACATAGAGAACATGAATGTGACAAATAAGAATTCGCAGTCAAACACTGCTAAATAAATATCTCGTTCGACCCACGCTTACAATAGGTGGTACCCCACATGCATTTGTGCTGTGAATTATTGCAGCTATAAGACCAATAATGTCTGATGTATCTTGTATATGATATATATATATATATATAGATATATATAAATCCAACCTCAACAATACAAAATAGGGAAAACACTGAAGCCAAAAGTACTTACGCAGTTACCCTCACTTCGCCGCATCCATTCACTTCCAGTTTTATCCCTAACTTCCGACTACTGATCCTCCTCTCAACAACGTATATTTCTTACCCTCTTTTACTTGTTATGTTTTCTTTTATTCTTGTACTTTTTCTTATTTTCTTAGCCGTTTTGAGTGAACTTTCCTATTTTCGTTTCAAAAATTTCATTGCTTCAGTGCTGCCCTTGTTGATTTTCATTTTTCTCTACATTCCCTGATGCATGCATGCTTAAGTTTGGATTGGTGACTGGTTTGTTTGGTTCTGTTTGTCCGGCAGATTTGGGGAATGGCCTGTTTGGTTTCCTTCTGATTGTTTAATCAGTAGGAAGGAAAAAAAATTAGTCGACTTTTCTGGGTAGTATTGTGTTGGGAGAAAGTTGAGTTTTTTAGCATAATGGCGGGTTGTTTTTCAAATTTTGCCGTGGCCGGTGTTGCCAATGTGAGGCAAGAAGCCCTTTTCGGGAATTTGGGAAATCAGGAGTCAAATTTGATTAGGTTGAGTTTCATGGGTGCGTTGAATAAGGCTGCATTTCATGTTCTGTGTGGGAACAAGTATGGTAGACCATGGGTGGCTACGCAAAAGAAAAAAACTTTTCTTGTAATGAGCATGTCGCAGCCGTCTGCTGAATCGCAATCTTCTGTGACTTCGATAGGATTTTCCGAAGGGGGAGGTGATGGTCTCCAGAGTAAGGAACATGTGACTCGAGATAATGAGTCAGACTCCAAAATTGATAGAAATGATGATAATGGAGTTGTAGTAGATAACGGTGGTGGGAATGGAAGCTTTGGAAGTGGTGGAGAGGGAGATGGGAGTGGTGGGGGTGGGGATGGTGGTGATGATGACAGTCATGACAATGAAGAGGAGGAATTTGGGCCAATACTGAGATATGATGAAGTAATGAGAGAGACACAGGCTCGTGGAGCTACCCTTCCTTTAGACATGATAGAGGCTGCTAAGAGTGTGGGAATCCGTAAGGTGCTTCTACTTAGATATCTGGACCTGCAGGTACAGTTTCTAAATGTCTATACATTTTCCCCTATTCTTTCCAAGTTGTGATTATGTAATGGATTCTGGGCGCAAACTCGTGTAAAACAAGATTACCATTCCATTACCTTAGACTTTAATACTGTTATAATTACTGTTTTAATTGCAGGGATCCTTTTGGCCTTTAGGATTTTTCATGAAATCATGCTCTATGCTTCGCAATCGAATGTTAGCTGATCCAGCGTTTCTTTTCAAAATTGGCACAGAGGTTGGTTGGTCTTGTCTTGTAGGAATCCTAATGTTTACTTTTTGTATCATTTAATGGCAGAACTGCAGTGTGTTGACCTATCCAACCATCTGAGTGCTCTATGTAACATATGACAGTAAGTATTCACCATTGGCAATTATGGTAATAAAATAGTTTCCTATGTAACAAGGTATCTATATATTCAAAAAAAATTGTGCTGATGACTGCAGCCCTTGTATGGTATAAGTTAAAATAATTGAAATTCATGTAATACTGACCTGTGGGATAATTTTGGAAGTTTTCTTTGTATTTATATTTATGTAACATTTTATCTTGGTATGCAGATTGTCATTGATACATGTTGTGCTACTTTTGCTGAAGTTCAAAAGAGAGGCAAAGACTTTTGGGCCGAATTTGAGTTGTATCTTGCAGATCTTCTCGTTGGTCTAGTTGTTAATATTGCTTTGGTAGGTATGTTGGCGCCCTATGCTCGAATAGGGAAACCATCAATATCTAGTGGATTCCTTGGTAGAATGCAGAAGGCCTATGCAGCCTTGCCTAGCAGGTTTGTCATCATACCATATATATGGGATTGTTTTCTTATCTCAATATTTTTATATCTTATGTGTATATATAACTAATAATTGTCCATCTAAAAAAGGCTTGGAAGTAAGGTTTCTCCATAAATAAAAATTATCCATACAATTAACAATAGTTAGGCCTTACTTGCTTTGTGTCTGTGGAGTATGGAGAAGTTTTCACCTAAGTTTCTAATTTACTCACTGTATGCAGTGTATTTGAAGCAGAAAGGCCAGGATGTAGGTTTTCTGTGCAGCAGAGACTTGGAACATACTTCTACAAGGTAATTACTGAAATCATTTCATTTTTCAACCAAGGTGGGAAGTTTCTGTTGTGCAGTTATATTTTAATTTGCGTTTTGAATTCCAGGGTATAATGTATGGAGCTGTTGGATTTGCATGTGGTATTATAGGCCAAGGCATTGCAAATATGATCATGACTGCAAAGAGGTATGAGTTTCTTCCCTAGAGTTTGTTTGACATAATTTGCTTCTTTGTAGGCACAATGTAACAGCCTACCTTCATAGTTCACAAGTTAATAGAAAATTTGTTGGCTCTTATAATCATATGTTTGTAATTGTCCTCGTGGAACATCTAATACAATGACAATCCTGTTAATAGATAAAATTATGACTGGAAATTATTATTTTGCTTCCACATAGTGCCTACTTTGCCTTCACAAAGGAGGGAGTTTGTTCTGTTATAATTCCCTACAATTTGCAAGGTACAACATTATAGAAACCTAGGTCTCTCACTTAGTATAACGTAAAATGTTTTATGAGCACACTTTTAAAGAGGTGTGGCACCACATGGTTTGGTGATATAGAAACCATTTCTGTTGACAGTGTACCAAAGTTATATCTAATTAAGAGCCAGTGTTCATACTGGATGGTAGTTTATATTAAACTGTATGAATCCTTATTCTTCTGAGCAATTAATTTCTCACTTGTTCTTGCTGCATACCAGGAGCATAAAGAAATCAGAAGAGGACATACCTGTGCCACCACTTATAAAGAGTGCTGCTCTTTGGGGTATGATGTTCTTTGTTTAAAAATATTGCATAATCTGTAGTTCTTCTTTTCCGTACAACTGGAAGACAACAATCTGTGTCTTCATTTATTTATTAGGAAACTCTTCTCAATTTTAAGCTTATTACTTATTAATAACTATGAATATAGTTACGAGGTCAAATATTATTCATATCATTAAAGGATAAAATGTATCATATTAGTACTGCAAAAAAGATTTAGTTTATGTTTTGAAACACAAGTTTTTCATATAAATGTTTAAAACCAGTTTATTGATGTCTTGTTATATTCATTTTATATTATTGTTCGGAAATTTTGACTTGTCTATTTAAAACTGCTTTGTTCAATTAGAGTGGTGGAAAAATACTAGGTCCTGTTTGGATAAGTATTTTTGTAAACACTTCTAAGAAAAGAAAATATGAAGATAAAATGTATTGAATTTCTTTCATAAGCTAAAATTAAGTTCTGAATTTTTATAGAAATTCTCATATATGTTCCCCTTAAAGCTAAGATTCATAAGTTGGTTTTAACTTACAGAAAAAAACCTCAATCCATTTTACTTTTTTATGTTCTTTTCCTATAGTGCTAATGGAGAAGTTTCTCCAAATAGGCCTAGATATATTGTTATCTCTTTGCGTTCAACATTTGTTATTTTTTAGCCAGTTGGGAACAAGTGAGAAAAGTACTGGAAACTAATTTATGACTTTTGTGGTTCTCTCTCTCCAAAAGAAAACTTGTATTGTTTTTGTGTTATCCTCAGTGTAATTTCTCTCCCCCTTCCTTTAGCCCCTCTTACCATTAAAGAAAAAGGTAAAAGGACCCATCACAATATTTGTATATGATTGTTACACCATCGAACCCAAAACGTTGCATGTCAAATATGAAATGTTGCATGCTGTCAGTTTGTAGCTAAAACGGGTGTAGAAATCTTTGTACCATTTGATATCGGTTCAAATGTATGGTGTGGATTGCCAACTTTTCTCAAGTTTCATTTGATGTTTTCTGATTTACTGTTAGTTTTGACATTTGGTCATTATATCATCCTAACTCAACTTATTGTATATTGTTCCTGGTTGTAACACATTTCCTTTCTCCTTGAACCTCCATTCTAGGTGTGTTTCTTGCTGTTTCTTCCAACACGCGGTACCAGATTGTCAATGGACTAGAACGGTTGGTTGAAGCGTCACCAATGGCAAAGCAGGTTCCCCCAGTTGCTCTGGCTTTCACAGTTGGCGTGCGTTTTGCCAACAATGTGTATGGTGGCATGCAGTTTGTTGATTGGGCTAGGTGGAGTGGAGTACAATGACTCCTTTTTCCTGATCTGTGTTCTAGTCATGTAGATGTGATTTTCTAGCCATCAATATATGGTGCGTTGAATTGGCAGATTTGTGCTACTTGGTTAAGGTTGCATGGTTTGATAGAAAGATTTTCTTTCTGGGATTATAAATGTTACCAGGCAATAATTTAGAGGCATGCCGTTTGTTACTTCTATATTCGGCAACAAACGGTAGAGTGCGTGTTAGAAAGAGTGTATTGATAGCACTTCTCTCTGGTCAAGACCTGCATATTTATCTAGAATAACCAAAATAACCTATCAAGGTGTTTGGATACAAGTTACACGAGTTTTTGAAAGTTTCTCTATTGAAAATATAGAGTATTTTCCATTGGAGAAGCTCTTAGAAATTCTTCTAACTATAACAGACTATGACAGAATCTGGAAACGTAAAAACGCCATGGTAAATATATAACATGTTCTAACAGCTTAGATTCCCTGTTAATTATTTGGGTTTATATCAAACTTATCAGTTTCAATATTTGATGAAAATTGATTTGTTTGGGACTGGAATTCAATCTTTGTTAATGACACTTCATTTGTTTCTCTAAGAAAAGGTAAAGTGTTAATTTAGAGAAAGAAGTTAGAAAAAAATGGAAATAACGGTTAAGTTCAAATTGCCAAAGATGATATTAGTTTGGTATGAATGTGATATTATTTTCAAGTAATGAAATTGCAACTTGTTTTACATTTGAAATGGTTTTCTAAAAGCTAATCCAAACGTTGATTAATGTTCTGTCTATTGAAATGTATCCTCGATTTTTGGCATTTCAAATCCAACCCGCAAATAAAGTATAAAATGTTCTTTTTTTCAAAGAAGTTAAATGATCTAAGGATGAAAACATTTTCCAATGAATCATCAGATGAATTTGTTTTAATTTAACTAGTAATTAGGAATTCTGGTTTACCTGCCTGAAAATATTTAGCATATCTTCCTCTCTGGTAAACACAAGCAAGTAATCAGAATGCAGCAATTCATTTCTTTCCCTTACAAATCACACAGATGATGCCACGGGTGAGTTCTTAGCAAAAAACCAGACTTGCCTTGATCTTAATTACTTAAAGCTATTGTTATTCACCAAACTGTCTTAGTCGTTCGTTCTGATTGCATACAACCCACAAGCACACACCTTGCTATTCTCTATTTGGGTCTTGGATTGTTTGCATTAGGTTCTGGAGGCCCAAGACCCTGCAACATTGCCTTTGGAGCTAATCAATTTCATACCAAAACAGAGGAAGGGAAAGCTCAGTTAGAGAGCTTCTGCAATTGGTAGTACCTTTTGTTCACGTAGCTCTTTTATAAAGCTAGGTCATGCCTCATAAATAGTGTGTCCCTGTGGACATGTATCAGATACCTACATGCGTATGACAATTGTAGGACATATATCGATGTCTCCCTTTTTTGATATAATTTTGACATAATTCCAACTAATAAGGATAAATAAAATGATTTTCTAAAAGCCATAAACTTGTAAAGTGATTGAATGAGTTTCTATGATTATAAAAATAAAGAACAAATATTATATCATCATTACTTTTCACTTTTTGGATATTTGATAAATGGATTAGATTTATTTTCATACTAAGTACAATATGTTTAGATTATTATATTTGATTAATTTTGTTTATAAATGATTTTAAGTATATAAATATTGATTGTTAAATTAAATAATTCATAATGATCTAATATATAGATATATGTTTTCATGTCCTATGGAAATTATATGGGTTGTGAGGTGTTTGTATTTGTATAGTATAGACTTACCAATTTAACCTAGACTAGCTCAAACTGATTTATCTTTACTTTTTTTTTCAAACACGACTCGAACTTTGATTTAAATAGGCCTTTCACTAGACTTGCCAATTTAACTTAGAGTAGCTCAAACTGATTTACCTTTACATTTTTTTTGGTAAATATGTTGAAAGTCCCACATCAACTAGAGATGAGGCCAATTCATAGTTTATAATTGGTTGCAAACCTCACCCTACAAGCTTGTTTTGTGGGATTGAGTTAAAGTCCACTTCTAACATGGTATCAGAGCCATGGTTAGAGCATATCCTAGCGATATTTGTTGTTTGTTGGGCATATATGGGGGGTGTTGGAAGTTCCACATTGACTAAAGATAAGACCAATTCATAGTTTATAAGTGGGTGCAAACCTCACCCTACAAGCCTCGATTTTCATTCCAATTGGCTCGTCTCGACCTTTGGTCTAGACTAACCAATCTCAATCTTTGACTTGGGTTAGTTTGTCTCGACTTTCGACCCAAGGTGGTTCATCTTGACCTTCAGTCTGGGCAGGCCATCTCGACCTTTAGCTTGAGCCCACTTGGGCCGAAGGTCGACCCACCCTGACCTTTGACCCAAGTCGGTATGTATATGACATTCGACTTGGGCTGACATGTGTTGACATTTGGTCTAGGTTTGTCTCGACCTTTGACCTAGGTAGACATGTCTCAACGTTCAGCTCGGGTCAATTCGTTTTAGCTTCGGTCTATCTCTACCTTTGTCGTGGGTAGGCACGCCTTGACATTGGGCCTAGGTCAACCCATCTCAATCTTTGGCTTGGATTGATCCGTCTCTACCTTCAACCCAAACCGACTTGTCTCGACCTTTGGCCCGACAACTTGTGTCAACTTTCGGCTTGGTTGGCCCATCTTGACCTTTGACTCAGACCAACCCGTTTTGACCTTCAACCTAATTAGGCTTATCTTAACCTTTGGTTCGACCCATCTTGATCTTTAGCCTTTGTAAATTTATCTCAATCTTTAGTCTAGGATGAACCGTCTCAATTCAGTAAAAAATAACGACTTCATCTTTCACTTACACTAAAAGTTATTTATAGGAGCTCATTAAAATATTATATAATGAAAACTAAACCCACCTTAGTTTTGATTCTAACCCATTTTGATGATAACAACTTTGGGCTCGAGACTTTTTTTTGTCCCCTTATTTTGAGGCGTCCCTTGAAGAGATTATTCAAAAATGGGTTAAGGCGTTCAAATTAACACTTCTAAAGTTATAAAGGTATATGCGCTACATAGGTTCACAAGTGATCTTTTGGTTTGCTATTATTGCCGTTTGAGACTAATGTTAGTTGGTTCCATATATGGTTTTATTATTCTCACGATGTGCTTTAACCATTTTCCTGTTGGGACGAGCTTGTTTGCGTAGTACACCTTTTTTGCATGGCACTGACTTGAATAAGAATAGGCTTGAGTACTATTATTACACTATTGTTGTTTTTGAAGGGTTGATCTTGAACTTTTACTTCTTTGCTTGTCGTTACCTACACAATGAAGTGTTCCAAAGTCTATGTTGACCAATTTAGACTCAGAAATGCTAAATTATTAAAATTAAATAAAATTCAGACATGACAAAAAGTAATGATTTGATGACTAAGACACTCTCAAGAATTGACAACGATACTCAACTTAGTTTTAGTAGGAATTTCTTAGCCATTTTACCTCACATTGAGGCTTACCTTCACTCAATTTTGAATAAAGGATTTTGGTATTCTAAAATTTTTCCCACGCCTTGAAGTCGCACACTCCAGTTGCCGTATATCAGTGTCAGTCAATATTGTTTGGACTTTCTACTCAATATACTTGGCTGTAGGCCAGCTAGCACTCCCTTGGATCTTGGCCTTGATTTGCATGTTTTTGATAGCCTCCATATTCTGATTTTGTTGGGTATCTAATCGCAACTTGTCCTAAAATTTCTGATGCAGTCCACCAACTAAGCCATTTCTAAAATAGTTCAATGTGTTAAAAGGTTCATCCGAGAAAGGCTTATTCTTCCCACGCTCCATTACTCTGCAATAGGTATATCTCTCTCATCTCTTAACGCTCAAAAAGCAACGATCTAGCCCCTTCTTCTTCCACCAAATATCAATACCGTGCATTGCAACTTGTGAACTACATTGACTCTCTCATTTGTTACAGGATCTTCACATCACTCGTATGATTTTGTTATAACAAAAATGCATTATGCTACATGGACCTACTAAACACAGTGGTTGATTGTTACATTATCCTTAAGCTTTGCTCAACTGGTCTCATGCATCTTCTTCCTATCCCTTCAAGCCAGCTAACAACAGATATCTTCACCAAGGATTTGATTCCATGCACCAGTTTCCAAGGTTAGGCTCAGCGATATCACACATATCGGTTAGTTAGGGACCTATACTTATGTTATTTGAGCTATAGCTAGACTCATTTTCCAAATGTATTTATACTCTCAACATATTAAACATTGATGTAGGAACTGAGTCTCACCTTTTTTTTTTTCCATAATATCACTGTTTTAACATTTTATCGTAACATAACTCATGAGTAATTGATTCATCACTAACACCTCTAAATATGGAGAAGTATAAGACTAATAAATAAACTAAAGGACAGAGAAAAAAAGTAATTTAAACATGTAAAGCGACCTTACATTAGAGAAAGGGTTAAACTGACAGCAATTAGAGAAGAAGAGATAAAGGGTTAAATAAGGGTTGTGGACAGAAGTTGGAGGCTGTAGAATAATAGTGAGAGTTGTTATCATAATATAAATGGAGACATGCACGGACCGTACCAGCATGCACTCACATGATCCTACCCTTCAGTTCGCCCTTCCACAACCTCAACACCCGTTCTTCAAGAAACACACATTTTACTATCACTTCCTTCTCACCACCGCCCACCACCATGGCCATCGACACCCTCCGTCGATTCTTTCTTCCGTGTTTCTTCTCTTCCAAGCAGCAACCCACCGTCCCTTTCTCCGACCATCATCTGCAGACCAAGAACCGCCCCTCCTCCCCGGCCTCGTCAACGTCCTCCTCCACCGCCACCTCGGCTGCCCCGCCCCGTCCCTCAAAGTCCATGGTGATCGGCACCATCTTCGGGAACCGCCGCGGGCACGTGTGGTTCTGCGTGCAGCACGACCGGCTTTCCGCCAAGCCCTCGCTCCTCCTCGAGCTTCCTCTCTCCACCGACCATCTCGTACGCGAAATGCGCAACGGCCTCGTGCGCATCGCGCTCGAGTGCTCCGACGCTGCCACGTGTCCCCTCCGCTCCGTCCCCCTCTGGACCGCCTTTTGCAACGGCAAGAAGACAGGCTTCGCCGCGCGCCGCCGGGCCGGAGACCGCGTCCGCTCCATCCTCCGCACCATGCAGTGCGTCTCCGTCGGCGCCGGCGTCATCCCCTCAGGCTTCTCCTCCGACACCTCCGAGGAACTCATGTACATGCGCGCCAACTTCGAACACGTCGTTGGCAACGCTGACTCCGAGTCCTTCCACCTCATCAACCCCGACGAGTGCCCCGGCCAAGAACTTAGCGTTTTCTTGCTCCGATCCCGACTCGCCGCCATCCGCTGAGCCGCAACGAGTCGAACATCTTTCCGTTTCGGAGCTTTATTTATTTTTCGGTACAGAAAAAAAAGAAAGAAAAAGAAGTATGACAAAAACACCTCTTGGAAATTATAGTTTTTCTTTTTTTCAGGGTCATTCCAGAAAGTTATTGGTTTTCTTGAAATTCCGTAGCATATTGATATCTTCCCGCAAATGTTGTTTGGGTGACCATTGTACATTTTGCCGTGTTAATTTATCGAAGTTAATGACAACATCTTTCAAAGGACATATTTCCACAAGGATATAGCGAAGATCAAGCTTCTCTTTGATTATGAACTTAAAAAAAAGGTTATTTGTTGATCATACATCACAATTACTAGTGATACTTTTCTTGATTTTGAACGGGTTATCTTTTTTATTTTTACTTCTAAGATCTGAGTCTTGTAAAAAAATGGTTTTTTTAAGAGGAAGGTGATGGGGGTGACTGTGTTGTAATTGTTGCCCATGTGAGTTCCGAGTAGAGCTGATGGGTTTTTCTAGGACTAATCTCATCGCCAATACTGTATTCTTTTTTGCATTTGTCTATAATAATAATGTAACAGGGTTAAACAGGGATGGTCTAGGAATCTTTGCTATTTTGTTTATGCTCCAGAATTATCAATTTATTACCATATCAGCTTTGATTCACTGCGATTTCTTCCCCTTATTATATAAATCTGCGGTTTTGGAGCTTTTCCTTGAGATTCATTACTTGTTTGGCATGGGTATCTTACTCAAAATGTAATATAGTTTTCCCCTTGCTTTTTAATAATTTAGAATATTTGATGGTACTGGTCATTATATTGCTTGCTGTCAATCTTTCTGGTGACCAATTGAATATATTTTAGCTTTTTCCTATCTTCTTGTATAATTTTTCCATGTTGGATCATCCCAAATTTCTATTATTTTACCAGCACTGCTATAACATATTGTAATGTAATGCTAGAATACCAGCTAAGCTCTTAGGTGTGCTAGATGGGGTCGTAGTTGAACCATTCTTTTTCGTTGTACCTATGATTTGAAGATGGTGGCACACTAGTTTGGTGTCCACAAATCACTTTTGCATTCGAACCTTCTTCAGGAGATCTTAATAAGAATGATATTCAATTAGGTACCAGTCCTTTTCAGGAATTTTACTATCAACATCTCTTTCCTCTAATCTTTAATGAAGAGAGAACTCTAGCAATCATTGATACAGTTCCAGCACAACAAACGATACTTAGTTTAACTAAAAGTTCATCGAAATTTCCAGCTATGTGTTAGCTAGTATCAGTTCATCAGAACTTATATATATATATATATATATATATATATATATATACTTGAAGCAATCCAAAAATGGGGTTACTTCAATGCTGAGTGTTGGAGTTTTAAAGTGCAAACCGCAGCACGTGATCTAGTGTATGATTGAGGACCACTTGTTGGCCCACACTAGCCCCCAAAGCAATACAACTGAAAAGTAATTGGAACTGCAATTATTTGGTGCGTATGAACATGTTATGTTATAAAGATAAAATTCTTCCAGTTCAAAATGTTACTGATAAAAATAGGCCAGCTAAGGTTTATTTATGGTAACATGTGATTGAAACAGGGAACACAAAATTATTAGTGGAAATGGTTGCCAGTCAAAGGTGTGATATTTTCTTACAACTGTTCGGATTGCAACAACATACCCAAATGAGTACAAATCTCATCTTCTATGATGAAAGAAAAAGGTAAGGGCTTTTCTGAGGCCAATACAGAATAAAGAAAAGAACAAAACGAAATGGAAAGATTTTATAATCTCAAAATCTATATCACTGAAGATTTGGCAGAGTGGTTGTTCTTATGGTTTGCAGATGAGTGGCTGTATTGGAGGTAGTCAGTGGCAACCTAAGGCCCTGTTTGGCGGTATCATTGGAGTGAAGTGCTTAAGATGTTGGAAGGAAAAGCTGTGGTGAGAGAAACAGACATGTCAGAGAGGATGAAGACCAATGTCACAGAATTAGCTCACCAAGCTCTCGATGCACACAAAGTTTCTGACTGTTCATTGCTCATTTTATCAAACAGATCAATCTTAAAATATCCAACCCATTTACTTTTTATTTTTCTTGTTGCTGTTCATGGATATGCATGTTTGTCTCATGATTAGTGTGTTGTCTGTGAGTGTCCGTTCTCATTAGAAAATATGAGAAATTTTATTGGGTATTTTGAGCTATTTTGTTGATAATTATTTATTGATATCTAGAATTCAATATTATTGGCTTTTTAATCGGGTAAATTTGTTTTTAAAATGATCAATCTGAGTTCCTCTAAAAAAATTTTACATGTAGGATCAAGTTATGATGTCCAAGCACCACTTTTTGTTTTGAAGTTGTTATAATAAATGACAACTTTTATATAATTAAAGTTTTGAGCTAGTCATTTTTTTTTAACAATTTTAGTATAATTAAATTTGAAATAAAATGAAGTATAATTGATTTTGAGGTGAAGTCTGTATTTTTTTCTGTGTGATTTTAGAGTAATTGATTTCCTTCAAAATCAATTTTATTAAAATCGTTAAAGGAGTTGATTACTTTAGTTCAAAATTAAATATAAAAAATATTCAGAAGAGACTAATAATGACTTTGAAGATAAATGACAGTTCAAAATAAATTATATTGAAGTTGTCACAGTAATGATGATTTCCTTTCAAAATTAAGTATAATGAAGTTATCATGTGACGACTTCACTATAATTGATTTTGAATGAAAGTAATTACTTTTACTTTTAAATGATCATCCCCTTTTGATAATTTTAGTGTAATTGGTTTTGGTTCAAAATCAAGTCACTACAAAGAATGATGACTTTAGTTCAAAAGTTGTTATAAGAAATAAAGATTTTAGTTAAAAATTTTAATTTACACATAAGTTGTCATTTACTTTGATGACTGCACTTTCTCATGGATCAAAGTTGTCTACAGACATAACGACTTCTTCAAAACAAAATCGTTCTAATGACAAGACAACTTGACCTTAATTAATATTTTTTTTTAAAGAGAATCCATATTGGTAATTTTGAAAATAAATGGACTCGTTCGGTTAAAAAAAACCCAAGATTATTCATATAAACTATACTGGTAGAAAAACTACATTTTTGCACGTTGAAAAATTACATTTTAGCTTATAAGAATATAAAATACATACAAAGGTGCCGTAGTTTCTAAAACAATGTTTATGATGATTAAGTATAATAATAACTAATTTTAATTATTAAATTTATTTTAATTCTTAAATATATTAATATTAAACTATTCATATTTAAAAATAAAATGATAAATAGAATATACTTTTAAAAAGAAATTATTTATATTAGTTTTGAACTAAAATAACATCATCTTACACGTTTTTTTTTCTCACAAAATTATTAATTCTTATTTTTCATATGGAAAGTGTTTTATTTTTTATATTAGATGTATCACTTGACAACTATTTTTTTAGCTATTTTAATCATTAAAAAAATTTATTTTTTGTATTTATAGAAAAAATAAATCAAAGAATAAAATAGTAATTGTAAAGTGTTTGGGCACCTACAAAATAGAGTATTAGAATTGATGAGTGTTTTAAAATAATGAGACTGAGTATTTTAAAATTAAAACAATTCGTTATTATAAATATAATTTCTTAAACTCGTCTCATTACTTAAAACACAAACCATCTTTTTAAAACTTTTCACTTTGTTATCTCTTCCTTCTCTCTAAGTTATCTTTTGATAATTTTCAAGCATGTATTTTCTGTTAAAAATTGTTGGTTAGTTCTGCTGTTTCTTTGAAGTATGGTTTGTTTATGATCTGAATAATGACAAACATGTTCTTTCCATTATTTTTCCTCCTTCTCTAGATTGTGAATTTCACAGAAATAATGTTAAAGAACATGGATCGGTCAAGAAAGGAAATTGAGTTTGCATTGGTTGCTTTTATGGAAATACCCTCCCAGTACAAGGCTACAATAGAGCTTAATATATTGGGGTAATAAAATATTGAATTATTTTCTTCACAGGCGTTTTCTACAGTGAATACACTATCTGTCTTTGGAGCCATCTAATAAGTTGTATAACTTTTCAAATACTACTCGAAGAGGGAAAGATATCGACAGGGTTCCTCTGCCACCGCCTCTATATGGTGCAACATCTTTCAATTCCTTGAAAACTTCTCGTCAGAACAATTTTCGTTCTAGTGCACCATCTAGCAGACATGATGTTAGGCCAAACCCTCCCGCAATTCTACTTTTGATAATCAGGTATATCCACTCTCTCTTGCTATTGGTTTTTCCTTCTTTAGTTTGTAGTCATTGCACTTGTCAGTACTCTCAATCTAGTCAAAAGTGTATTTTGTTGAGATGTTTTATTTTCTTTAGCTCTTTCTATGCTTTTCTTTTGAATGGTTCTCTAAGGATGAATATTTATGTTGTATGTTATCCTCTTGATTCTTTATCTGAATGATCTTCTATATATAGGCCCTTGGAAAGATGTTCGTTACACTCAACTCTTGCCCTTGATTATTGTATCTTCTATTTCTTCGTGTGTAGCAATCTGATGCATCTAGGGGGATGTATTGAAGATGTGTCGTGAGATTCGAGGTGAATGGAGGTTTGGAAGGCAGCTGAAACCAAGGGAACAGTGGCGGCAGCAACTGCAGATTCTGGAGGAATTTCTGGATCAGATTGGCTGGGATCTTTGGAGGTGTGGCAGCGGATTATTGGTGTTTATGGTGAGTGGAGATGGAGGCTAGCTTGGAGAGGTGATTCACAACTCAGAAGGCTTCCTAGAGTGGAAGAAAGTTGCAATGGAAATCAAGCTAAGAAGTGACTCTTGGAGAAGGAATTTGCTATACATTTCAGCAGAAATTCTTTACTACAATTCAAAAGTGAGCTACAAGCTTTGCCTATGAGATTTTATAGATCAATCTCAAGGCTTAAGCAAGCATATTACACGTTTCAGATCTGAAATGCTAATAACTACCCATGTGCTAAATGTGTGGCTTCTAGAAAGCTTTATGAAGCACGTGACAAATGAGTTTTACATGTGGAGGAAAAACAATTACTAATG